GTTGCATTCAAATCCCGTTCAAACAACATTTTTTTTTTTGTGTTTAAAAAAATTTAATCCAATTTTTTTTTGGTGATACTATGACTTTTGGGTGTTAACATATTAATGTTACTTATTTAATGAGTTTTTGCCTTTTGTATCGTAGGCACAAGGAACGAAAGTCACACATGAAATGACATATTTAGTAAGTGCTGAACTCATCCCTCCAATGATTGCTACGAAATGACACTTAATGAATAACGTTTTCATATTATAGGTAAAAGCTGATCTTTTAAATCTATATTTGCTTGGTGTTATTGTTACCTTGATTTTGTTGATGAATGTTATAGTTAACAATAATTTGTATGCATTTTTCTTTTTATATCCCTTCCTCGTGTTTACCTGGTGTATTATAACGTATTATGGTGTATTATGATGTAGTTATATGCAAAATTAATTATTCTTCTGAATAACAGATTTTTGTTTGTGATTGACATTTGCAAAGTTCTGTGTCAATGCTATAATTTTTTCACCTAAAATATAGAATAAAATAGCAATATAGTGTTTTTGTAAGTATAAAATTTATATATTTCCAAAAAAAAAAAAGTATAAAATTTATAATGTGATTAACCAACCACCACGGAGGATAAAAATTTTGTCATTTTTTCCCGTATATCGAATGGCAATAAACTAGTTATATTTAGAAGACAATCAACGAACAGTGAATTGAATGAAATGACTTTGATGCTGAATATTCAAACACGAAAACCAAGGCGCAATTTCAATTCATGAAATACAGACCATATGGAGTGCGTAATAGTCCACGCAAATGACAAATGCTGTTCGAAAACCAAAAAGAAAATCACAACAATCGAGAAGCAACTTTTGGTAAAAAATGGAACAGTTAAACAAGCAATATGACCGAACAGATTGGTACTGAACAAACACTAAATTGTTAAATGGGTTCTTTTTTCCGTGTTTACTGCAAATGATTTTTTTTTTTGAGTTTTATTTTTCTCATGTGATATAAGATAAATCTTCTTTCCTTCTTTTACAACAAACGGTGGAATCCACTTTATTTCAAAAAAAGAAAAGAGAAAAAATATAGGGTTTAGTGTTTATCATTTTAAATGATATAAATTATGTCATTTTAGGAGAGAGATAGACATAAAAAATGAAAATCATGAGAGAGAAAATGAGTATTTTTTTTAATTTAAAATTAATTTTTTTTCTGTGTCTATCTCTTTCTTAAAATGACATAACTTTATCTCATTTAAAATGACAAACACTTTTTTCAAAAATATAGCACGAAAATCGAAGTGAAAATAGAAGATAAAAATTTTCTTACGTGACATATTGAAAAATAAAAACTTTTTTTATATACATAGAAAAAGTGAGATCCATTTTTTTTAAGATCCGTTGATGTATCCTGCCTCTTTTATGCATTATTGTAGAAGTTTTTTTTTTTTTTTTTTTGGCAACAACAAAGCTATATTTCCCTTGTTAAATACCCAAAAACTGTTTTACCAAAAAAAAAAAAAATACCCAAAAACTGAACAGCCACAATTTTAATCACCAAACTCAGATCTAGAAAATTGCCTTAACATTGTTATCGGTGGTAGGGTAAATATCTATGTTGTGGATTATAATGATAACAATACAATAGCACATAATTGTATAAAACAGAATGCAATCACAATAAATTAGAATGCAATGTGCAAGACATAAAAAATTGTAAAAAATTAAATCCGAGTCCAATATTGAATATCGTGTCTTCAAGGCAATTTTGTCCCCTCAAGAGTGGGTGTCTAAGATTTATGGATGAATGTCTCCCGGTCTAGAATGAGTTATCTTTGTTTTGACAATGGTACAACCAGAAGAAACAACACTAGCACATTGATCAATCACAGACAAAGAGAAAAAGAAAGGTATAAATTTGACACTGCTAAGGTTTTTATTTTTATTTTATTATTTTTTGAATTGTTAGGTTATTTAAGTAATGGATAGTTATTTGAATTTCAACTTTCCTAAATGATAGGTCATAGTTATTAGTATAGTCTATTTAGTACCAGTGAGTAGTTATTTCTAAAGTTGTCTTGTATGACCTATTTAAACCTTGAATTATTTGAATAAAGATTATGAGAAGAATTATTTGGAAAAAAATACTCTGTGCAAGAGGTCAGGCTTCCTCAGTAAAATCATTTGAGGTCATGTTTCCTCAATAAAATCAAATTCCCATTTTTTTTATTTTGTTCGTAACAATTGGTATCAAAGCTCAGGCATGGACAAACGCGTACAGAAATTGGAAGACGTGATCCAGTCTTTATTAGAGCAATTCAAGGAGATGTTCAACCAATTGTCCAACCGATTGGACGTCTTGGAGGCTAATAGGCTCAGCACCCTCTCATAGGCTATTGGGCTGACAAATACAGAGACATGATTTTTCTAACTTCTTATCCATAACAAGTATGCTAGCGATTTTACCTACTGTGGGAAAAATGCAAGTTGTAGACCAAGTTATGGTTTATCTCAGTAACTTTTTATGTTGTCGGGCATATACACATAACACAACATAAGTATATTTTAGCAACTTTTAACTATGTCGGGAAAAAAGGTGCATACAGCATAGCAGCTATAGACTATATATACCATCATATTCCCGTAATATGCATAATATACCCACTACAATCTATATATACCAATTACAAATGGTTCAGAGACACAGATTTCTCTGATCACTTGAACCTCAGAAGTAAATGTTGTATCAGAAGGCAATGACGAATACCAAGTTAAGATTAGTTCCCCACCAGAAAATATGGAAGATGAGGAATAAAAAGTGTGGCAGTGATGGCGAACGAGTCCTGCCCCCGGTGAGAGGCTGCATCAAGCGTCGAATTTTTTCTGGTATCATCCAGAAAATTTTCTGTTTCTTCACTCTTTGCACCAACCGTTCAAGCAAATAAATAGTCTCCTCTACATAGTTACTTGTCATTGCTACTTTAGGTGCGGTCGAAGGGGACTTCCCCCCCCCCCCACTTTGTTATTATAGAGAGATATATGATTCATAAATGATACTTTCTCAAGTCTCAACCATTTGAGTTTTTTTTTTTTTTTTTTTCCCTATTTATTCATGGCAATCTCATGCTCGACTGTATTTAATTATTTATTTTTGTGCTCTTTCCGGTGATTTTTAAGGGTTGCACACATGATTAGCTTTTGATTTGATATGTATTTAATATTACTCTAATTTATTATTTATGTCAATCGTTAAATGTAAATGAGATATTAAAATTGAATATAATTTATACGTATATATAGAGATGATGTGCAAGAATTATAAGTTTTACACTAACATTTAATATAAGACTTACGTCAACATTTAATATAAGACTTACTCCATCCATTGGATCATGAGAGTTGGCTAGCAATAGCATACGAAACTTGTTAGTGGAAAAAAAAGTGAGGGGCCCAATTTCCGCATGAAGAAAAAACAAATTAAAAGAAGGGTTTTATGAGTATAATTAGGGGTGTAAATGGGCTGGGTTGGGCTTTGTCCATCCTGGCCCAAGTCTATGTCAAAAAAAATTCAGCCTATCTGGCTTACTGGCCTATTAAAGACTTTATTTGTAGGCCAAGCCCGGCCCATTTTAGAAAATAAGAAAGCCTGACATGGCCTACAAGCCTTGTAGGCCTTCCATTATATATACTAAGCAAAAAAAATAATTGTATAGAGCAAAGAAAGTTCCATTCATGCATGCACTAGTACTTCTCATAAGAAAAAAATGACAAACAAGAAAGAGTTAACATAATACCTCAGCTCTAGAATGTATATCACAGAGGAATAAAGTCAAAGAAATGGGAAAAATAAGAAAAATACAATTACTGGATGCTGAAATAAAGTCTACAAAAGAATGTCATTCATTTAAAAATCTTTAAACCACCATCAAGACAAAGGAAAGAAGAGTATTATTGAAAGATCTTCGTCAGTAACATCATAATCCAGCAAGGTACCCATTGCTCAATGGTACTAAGCTGCAACAACATGTAAAATTTGGAGACATTAGACAAATTTTCCTTTCATAAAATAAAACAAGCACAAAAAGTAAGAGATATTGGTATTTGGTACTTTGTGTCTTTGCCACATAAAATAAATATTATTTTATTATTTTATTTTAATAAATTAAATAGGCCAGCCTACAAGGCTGTAGGCCGGGCTTGAAAAAATTGGCCTATGGCCTATTTATTAAAAAAACTTTTTTATAAGCCTAAGCCTACTCTACTTTTCTGAAAGGCTGAGCCTGAGCTGGGCTCAATGTAGGCCCGGCCGTAGGCTGGGCTGGGCCAGCCTGGCCCATTTACACCCCTAAGTATAATGTTGTAGGATATAAGAAAAGTTTCCTACTCTCACAATAAAGGAGAGAGAAAGTGAAATGATGAAAGAAAAAAAAAACATGTGGACTCCACCTCTTAATTGTGTGTGTAGGAAAGTTTTATTAGATTATGTAACATGATACTAATAAAACACTTAAAAGAATCATATTGTTAAAGGAAACAAACACAACAGAAATAGAATTGAAGTGAAATGCATTTTCAAGAATAAAACTAGTATCACACCTGAAAACACTTTCTAAGATATTGAGAGAAGCAGAGAAAGGAAATTGCTGTTACAAATTTTCTCCTCTTTCCCTTGGTTTCCCAATAACCAAACAAGCCAAAAGAAGAAGATAGATGGACCTGTAAAAGCTCAAATAATCCACCAACAGCTTGTTTGACATGGAACCGATGAGGCGGTGCAGATTGTGAGTTCTCGAGGATTGGATTTATTTATTTATTTTTTGGTTCGTTGAAAATTGGAATTTTTATAGCATACCCACCTCTGTTTTATTAAAAAAAATTATTTATTTATTTATTTATTTCACAATAAAATAAAAATTACTAAAAGAAACAAGTTAACCTTAGACCTAATCCCAAAATCAAATATGCTTATCTTAATAAAACAAGACTTGAAAACAATGTCGTTTTATGTTGTTGACCGTCGAGTCCCATGTTACCAACGCCGTTCCAACTTCCAACCGTATGAACTTTGAATCCAAACAAGGTTTTTGCTGCTTCTAAGCCATGTCTTGGTCTTGTTAGTTCCGACGTTGTCTTGATTTTTTACCTTTCCCCTTGCTACCTCTTTTCCTCCCCCAATTTTGGGTTCTTTCATTTTTTCCTCTTTTAATATTTCCCGCCTTTTCTTTTCCCTGCTCAAATTTGTTTGGATGCTGAGAAAATGGACCAAAGACTAGGAAGGGAAGCGAGTAATTAACTTACAATACACGAGGTTAATCCAAATTCCAAAGTTTTCTACAGAGTGAAAGGAGGCTCTTAGGGTTTAAACTTTAAAGTTACAACCTTTCTTTCATCTCTTGAGGAAATGCCTTAAATGCAATACCCTGCGGTAATGCTATTCTAGAACTAGGACTAGAATTATAACATGGGTCAGAAACCCTAGATTGTTCTTCTTCTAGCAATATGTTACCAACTCCAATATGTCATACATGTGTGAGTGTGTGAAGCTGAATCAAGTTTCTTCTTTTGTAACAGTGGGACCAGCCTGGTAGCTAATGAAGCATCATCTTAACTGGCAATGGCGTTTGAAGACTTTGATCCCATCTTTTGTGAACCCAAAGTGGAGAGGGCAGCTCACAGTTCTTGTCCTTTGCATCCCTTTTTGTTCCATGCCTATGCTCCTGATTCTTCTCACCTTGTAATTCATGTAACTGATTTCCACTCTGATACTTGGGAAGCTCAGCTTTCAGTTTCCCTGCTTGAGGACATTGTGAGCATCCTCACTCACCTGCTCTTGCTTCATTTTCTGTTTAATAAATATATGCGAGTTATAGTGTTGGTTCAAACAAGAATGGTGGATAAGGAATACAGTTTGTTGCAATTGCCATAATGTTGCGCTCTAATGGTTTTAATTTGGTTGAGAGGATGAATAAGACACAATTGCTTTCTATTGGAAAATTTTGCTTTATTGCAAAAAGTGAAACTTTATGTCATGATGTTAATGATCCCGAATATCAACTAAGCTTTTTTCTTTTTTTCGCGCAACATTATGTAAATTTGCTTAAAACTCGTGAAAGATCAGTATTTTTATTTATAATAGCTGTTTTCCTTTGACCTTTTGACGTTGTGTGCAGAGGGACATCATTGGAATAGGCGGCTCTTGGTCAGAGTTTGCTGATTATTTTGTAACTTCCCTCAAGTCAGAATATCTGAAGCTGGTTCTAGATGCGAATTCAAACTCTGATGGTACCTATTACTCCTATTACTTCTGCAGTTCTATTCTTTGCTTCTTTCCTTTGAAAAATTAATGTAAAAGTATCATATGATATATATGTTATTTGTAAAGAAATTTAATTTCTTAAGTGTGTGAGTGTGCCTTGTATATCTAAGTTTTTTGTGTGTGGCCAGAGTATGATTTAACAGAAATGTATAAGTGCTCTGGTTTATAAGTGTGAATAGGAAACATGAAGTGAATGGGTTAATTAATTATAATTGGCGCCATGATTGAAGAAATTTGTGATTTCTTGTTCAAATATAGTGCTGAATAGGCCTTAATATGTTATGCAAGCATAGAAAACTCTACCTACGTATACCATCCCCTTTATCTATTTTTTTTTAAAGGAAATTTTAATAGTTTTGAGTGCATAACTACACCCTTTGAGACCTTTGGGACTGTTCTTAAAGGGGAGTAGGTGACGTCAGACTTAGAAACTTGAACTAATCAAAATGTAGAAATGATGCACTGCATCCCAGAATGAGTGAAGTATGTTGATATGATGATGACCGAAGAAGCAACGGGGAAGGTGAATAGGGCATGGTTATGGCTGGTGAGGAGTGATTTTGGCAGAGTTTGTGCAAGGTGAGCAATGGAGAAGATGATTCAGCTTCAGGAGGTGAGGTCCTCTATTTATAGGATATGGAAGATTCCCTTTCAGCAAGAGAAGTGTGATGTCATAGTCGTTTCAGCCATATGGGCCTCACGGTGGTGTGAGGTTACGTGACTCCTGACACGAAAAAGGTCATGCGTGCATGGGATACTTGAGGGGTACCTTTTCGCTCCGCTTAGCCCTACCCCCCTAGGGGTATTTTAGTGATAGGTTCTATAGGAATTGGACGATCCTATTTGGTCAAATACCTAGCGACGAACTCCTATGTTCCTTTCATTATAGTATTTTTGAACAAGTTCTTGGATAACAAACCTAAGGGTTTTTTTATTGACGAGAGTGACGATAGTGACCATACTGATAATAGTGACGATATCGATCGTGACCTTGATACGGAGCTGGAGCTTCTAACTATGATGAATGTGCTACCTATGGATTTGATGCCGGAAATAGATCGATTTTATCTCACCCTTCAATTCGAATTAGCAAAAGCAATGTCTCCTTGCATAATATGGATTCCAAACATTCATGATCTGGATGTGAATGTGCTACACATGTATTGAGGGACCAAGTGCTAAGTGTTAATGGCCTTGCCGAGCAGCCACTTGAGCTAGCCTAACAAGGCCGTCTGATTGGTCCAGAACAATACCATTAACTCATTGGACGATACCAGCAGTGTGTGCTATTAGGCAATCAGTGTATGGCATCAGACTTAAAGAACATTTTTTTGGTGACTTATCAAAGATGGTGGTTGCATTGTTTCTCTTTGGCTTAAGCCTTCACATGAGGGTAATATCATGGAGGTAATGCAGAGTGGATAACTATGGAGTGGACAAGAACAGAGTCATTGCATGAACGTAGTAGAACACTGGTTGGTTTTGTTATCGTGACCATGGTTTTTATGTTGTTATGCAGTATAGCAGTTAAGGGCTTGTATCTTGATTCATCTTGCTGTCCTGCTAATGCTGTAATGCTGTTGTTTTGAGAGCCCTTAAAGGTGTTGGAGAAGATTGTAACTGATTAATGATGATAAATTGATAATAGCAGCTTGTGAAATGGGGTTCTTGCCTTGCTATTGATGGTTGTCTATCATTTTCCCCCCATCAGTAGTCAGTTATTATTTCTTAATGTTTTCCTTTCCAATTTATATACTAAATAAGATTTCAAGAGATTACATTTGTAATTCTGGGACTTTATGTTATATTAATTTGGAATTTGGTCCGAGTATGATTTTGTAGTTAAACTGTAACTTAATAGAATAAGGATTATCTATGAGTCACTCTTTGTAATTTGTGATTTTCCTATTTATGTTAGTTTCGTATTTGAAGAAAAGTTGGATCGGCCAATATTTTGTCCTATTCTCTCCTTTCTCTATCTTCTCTCTGATTCAAATTCTACTAGTTATTATGTCCACTAGAAATTTGGTGAGGACTAATTTTTTAAAGATGATATGATAGCAGTTTCTGTCAAAATCATATTATTTTAATATTCTCATGTTGAGGGGTTGGTGAAGTAAATCTAGATGTGGTGTACAACCTGTTATTAAAGGCATGGAGATGATAGTACTTGTTGACTTGCTTATGACAGTTGCATCTCTGTGACTTGCGGAGATGGTTTTGATGTAGTAATTGCTTACTGAATTTAGTGTTGGGTAGGAGAGAGATTATGATGTTCTCTTTCTAAATCCTGGAATATAAATCTTATGTGGACCACTTTGATATGTTTGAATTTAGAAGTTCTCTGATGCATGTGATAAAGAATGCCATATTATTTGTTTTTAGGATTCATTTTAAGGAAGCGTACTCATTGTTCACAACCATCTGTTTTCTTTCAGGTGTTAGTTCTGCAAAATTAGTTGCTCAGAAATCAAAAGGAATGCCTCTAATAACCATTCCTCTTACCAAACTTGTGGACTCCTCTGGTAGTGAAGCTATGTCAAATTTGTCCTTGAGCCTCTTTAAGGCATTCAAAAGCATCAAGTGTGTAAAAGGTTAGACCATCCTCTTTATATTGCATCAATCTTTTGAATTTTATGAAAGATCTTTCAGTATTGATACATTGGTAGGACTGGAACTTTTTCAGTATTGATAATTCTGGTTCATGTCACTGATTCACTGGCCATATTCATGGTGGAGTGGTTTGGATTTTCTGTTGTCTGCAAAGCTGCATGCACATATATAGGACTATCTGGCTACGTTACCCCTCCCCTTCTCTTTTCATCTATCTTCTTCTGTATCATAGCTATCAAATGGTGTAATTCATATATATACATGTGCCTTCCAAAGATTTGGGCAGACTCATATATAACTGAAATTGGATATATATGGCCTGTGCTGGAATTAACATTTACTTATATTTATTGTGCCCTCAGAGCAAGAGCACTCTGCCCGGTTGATAGCAGCTGAAAAGGTACAATAGCCAAATCTCTTCAAAGTTCAAACTGTTACAGTATAGAGCATTTATTATAATTTTTTGGGTTAATTTCTCAGATCATTTTTTTTTTTTTGCTGGGAAATGATTTAGCATTCGTACTTTTACCGCTGTATCAAAATTATAAATGGAAACTTCTGAATGTCATTAATGATGGCTGGGTATTTTAGGATTCTCATTCTTTTAGTGCGGGATTTATTGATGCATTCCGAAGGTCTTAAATGCAGTATGATATGATTCATCCCTTATTTTCATAGGCTAATTGTGGGTATTTCTTTGCTCAAAATGCAATTGTGCTTGAATGATTTCTAAGTCTATGGAAAACTTAGGCTATTTTACACCTTGAAGATACCCTCAAATTTTGAATATAATTAGATAAATTTGTTATTCTTAAATGTCTGGGATGAAAGATTTAACTTCACCCGTTTACTGCTAGTCATAAGTTGGTAAAATTGGATTATTTTTCCTTCGCTATTGTCAGCTTATTATAGGCACTCTTTTTCTACCTGTCAGGAAAGAAATGAAACCATACAACAACAACTGGAACAACGGAAGAAGTTTCAAAAGATTACCGACTCAGAGAAAGCAGGTGTTTCTATTAACGGACTGCAAAATTCTCCAGGTGTGTTATGTACTCTTTCATTCTGAAAAGTAGGTTTTTTGCTGATAAAGTAGTTCAAAATTGTTACCTAGGTTGAAGGTTTTACTGACTAGTCTTTATGGCATATGTGGTGAGGCTGTTTTGTGAAAAAAAAATGTCTCAAGGCTAAGTAAAATATTTAAATTATTGTATCTGTCCTCCATTTTTGAGCTGTTTAACTATTTTCTTGATGGGAAAACAGTAATTGCCTTAGCTCTATTTTTTTATGTGTCAAGAAGAAAATAATCTGAAGAGGTTAGAGAAGAAATGCTTCTTCTGGCCCATTTTGAATATTCTGGAATGTGAAGAATAGTTTGGTAGCTTCTGCTTATATCTAGTGTTGTTTGTTGTGCAAGGTGCTTTTGGGTTGTATTTGTGAACCATTATGCATCATCTCTTGGATTTATTCCTCAAGGGTTAATGAAAAATTTGTTTTTCTTCCTATTGAGTTGCAGATAAGCAAGCAGCTCGGGATACAGGTTCTACAAAAGTTAAGAATCGTGCGGTGCCAGCATATCGCAGGCAAGTGTTATTACTGGTCAACCTTAGTTCTAGTACTACTGCCATTATCATTGTATACTCACTAACCTGTTTTTCTTGGGCAGGACCAAAATAAGAGGGGCCCAATTGCATGATAGTGAAAATGAGTTATAACTCACTTTTTATTCAAACCAGTTGCTCAATAGGAAGTGAAAAGATTGTCCTGACTGTATGTTTACTTCTTTTTCAGTCGATTCCCTTGTACTATTGCATGGTATGGAAAGCATATATATTTTACTGGATACTGGTTAGTGGAGTCATATAAAATTTCAGTGGAATTCAGTCACTTATTAACTATGTAAATGAAAATTGTTAGTTTGATGCCTGTTCCTCCCCCTGCCCCGTTTCTTAACCTTCATTTAGTTTCCTTTCTGCATAGCAAAATATTAATATGGATTTTGGACGGAGAGATCAAATAGCTTTTCTTTTTATTCTTTATTTGAAATGAGAATACAGAGCAATAAAAAGGGAAAGATGCGATGAAACTGAGAGCCAAACAGATGAGACAATTGGGAGTGTGTCAGTGTGGATGTTTTCATGGTGAAAGACGAAAGCCACCCTTGGAAGAAGAAACTCTATTTGGTTTTGGAAATCCTCACATAACAGATAAGCTAGCTGGCATGTGGGATGTGCCAGAAGTTGGTGATGATGAAACTTGTGATGAGGAAAGTGAATCTAAAATTATCTTACATTATAATAGAAGCACTTGTTTATGCTGCAGACTGCAGTTATGAATAAAACATAATCTTTCTAGTTAATGCTTTTGGACCTGTCATTGTGAAGATCTGATTAACCTTTTCTTTTCTTAAAATTTGAGAGGTCAGAAATTCATAATAAGTGGTCCACCAAAATTTTGTGTGGTTTAAGCAAACTGTACAACTTAGCTGCAGAACCTTGAGCGAGATCTTCTGTTTGTTGGTACTAATGGCTTCAGTGTAACAGAGGTAGATACTTCCAATCTGCTTACAAAAGCTAGGTTTTTACAAAAACTCTTATGATAAAGAAACTTTTTTTTTTATAATGAAAAAAGAAGTCAAAAGCCAAAAGCTCTGAAGGAGTTTTTTTAAGTTGTATCAACTTATTTTTAATTTGAGCTTTTAAGTTACTTTTAAGTTATTTTTTTTTATAATTATTAAACAGCTTTTATTTTTATTTTTAAAACTATTTTTTATTTTCAGTTTCAATTTAAAAGTAATTTTTGTGAAACAGGCTCACTCTACTCAGTTGAACACGGCGTTCATTTGCTTACTTTCTTGCAGTTAAACACGTGATTCATTGATATTGATAATAGCTGAACTTGATAGCTTAATTGCCACTTTAAATAACGGATACATCTTACCGTATTATATGGTCACATGGGAATTAGCATTCAGGGATTTTACAGATAACGATAAAATGGAATTCTGGGGGTTGGTTGAGAGCAGAGAATAATTTTCATAGTGTTTCTCAGTTGCTTATGCTTTCATGCTACTGTAAATGCTCAATTACTTCATACTCTATTATTAAGTTGTAATTGAAATTAAGACTCCTGAGCAAGCCTGGTGGAAAGCTCTTTAGTTATAGTATAACTCCATTTTCATTGTTGAATTAGGGTACTGGCGAACAGGCCTAGAATGAAGAAGAAAATTAGGAGGAAAGAGGGAATCTGGATAGAGAGAAAGACAATGGTGGAGAATCAAGTAATAATATAAAACAAAAACCAACATAATTTCATGTTAGTACAATTTGTTGGCAGTGACCAAACCTGTGATTCTTTACACCTTTTTTGTTGTTGTTGTTGATAATAATATCATCTTTGGTTGCTATCAGAAGTAAAATCCAAGACATGTGAACCCGAGAGAGTGACAGAGAGAGTCACCATACCATAGACTTCTAGAGGATGACAACACTGCTGAACCCCCTCTGCGAGCATCTGTATCTAAGAATAACATAAGAAATGAACCTGTAGACCATGATGAAGCACACCGTGACCCCAACATTCTTCCATCTACTACTCTCTCCCCCATAACCTTCTTCTTTAAGCACATCCTCTCCGCTCTTCATACATGCCCCAAACATGTACTCTAAGCATTTCCCTGAGTTGGAGAACTCATTGATCAGGAACCCTTCAAACGGATACTTAAACAGAGATATATAATGCATGAAAATCCAGTAATTTGGAATTTCATTCTTAGATATGAAGTATCCAGAGAACAAGAAGAATGATCCAATGACACCAGCAATCACTGAATTTCCAACAATGAAATTAGGCACCAGAGCACTGAAACACACCACAACTGAATTGGCCGTATAAAGAATCAGCCATATCAGCAACAAAAAGTGCAAAAACGCTGTGAAATTCCGATTGAGCCCAACAAGCCAGTATAAGGGTATTGTGAACAAAATAGCTAGGATGAGAAGAAAAGGCAAATAAACTAGGCCATTGGCAATAGCATAGGATGATACACGGTAGCTTCCACAAGATGTCTCCTTCATTAGAATCTCCCTTTCTTGCATAAAAATTGGTAGAGCTTCTATGCTGCTTGATAACAAAAACGTTAATATGAAAGCAAATAGACCTACCCTTTCTTCTGCTCCCCCTAGATCATCCTTGAGGTTGCAAAATATGGACCCCAAAACGAGCCCAGAAATCAGCATCTGAATTGTCCTACATGCAAAGAGCTCTTTTGTACGAAAGATGTTTTTGGAGAACCTATGAGTGAGAATCATAGTTTCTCTCAATCTAGAATTAGCAAAATCACAAGTGTAATCGATTCCAGCGTTGATGATTTCTTCATCAATTACCTTGGACTGTTGAAAGAGCTGTTGCAGAGTAAACTTACCACTTCTACTCTCACCTTGTTCATCATCTCCTTTCTTCTGTTGCATTGTCCCTTGCAATTGCCTAGGCGTTTCTAGCTGAACTGGCTGACATTTTTGTTGTTGCTGAATGGTGTCAATGGACTCAATGGCAAATTCTACTACATTAACATGAAGGGGAAGCTCTAAACCCATTAATATTAGATTCACACCAAGCAAATCTGTAGTGCCATGGTATAACACAGAGCCATTGGCTAACAACAACACTGAATGGAACAGCTTCACAATTCTGAACCCAGGTTGATGGATGCTAAGGATTATGGTTCTGCCCCTAGTGTCAGCCATGACCTTAAGCATATCAATTATTTGAAGAGCAGATGTACTGTCAAGCCCTGAAGTTGGTTCATCAAGAATAAGCACTTTTGGATCATGTATGACTTCAACACCAATAGAAACTCTACGCCTCTCACCACCAGATATACCTCGGACCCTGTCATCGCCAATTCGAGTCCCAGCAACATGGTCAAGTCCAAGCTCTTGAATCAGTGACTTGACCCTGGAACATATTTCTTTTTGAGGAAGCTTTAGTCTTAGCTTTGCACTAAACATCATTGTTTCTTCAACTGTAAGTAAGGGAAACAAAATATCCTTTTGTGTAACATACCCTGAAAGCTTCCTGAACTTAGCTTTGTCCACAGGCTTGTGGTTCACCAACACAGACCCACTTTGTGGATTAAGTTTACCAGCAAGAATCTCAAGCAGTGATGATTTTCCAGCTCCACTTGGCCCAACAATTGCTAGGATTTCCCATGGCTTGGCTTGGCAACTCACATTCTTCAGCACATGCCTAACTCCACTGCAACTTTGTTCACCTTTTGCTTCCTCTTCAGCTTCTTGACCATCTTCTTCAATATCCAGTTGTGGAGACTTGCTGAAGATTTTAAAAGGGTGCTCCGTTTTGTGTGTGTGGATCTTGTAGTTGATGCCAATGGCCTCAACCTCACAACTCTGCATCTTCACTTGAATAGTTTGTTTTACCACTGTTTCTTTGTGTTTCACTCCGTTTCTTCTACTCTCTTCTGATTCCCAAACCCATTTGGTTCTCTTCCTCTTTGTTCTATTTTCTTTTTTTAAATCAACGGTTTTGGCCTCAGCTACTCACAGTGAAACAATGTGTGGTTCAAAGTGATATAATCACAAAGACACTGAGGTCCTCGAAATTTGTATACAAGGTTCACGTGCACTTGTTCTTGCTATTTCTTTACCGATTTTATATATTTGGACACAGAATGCTTGTATAATATACGTTACTAATATTACTTGTTAGTGAGTAAAATATACATTTAACAAGATTTCATAATATATTAATACTTATTCATTAATATACTGAAATGAATGAGTATACTAAATTTAGACATTCATATCTGGTTTAGACGTGGAACAAAGAATAAAAAACGTGGGTGCTACTGCTCACTGTTTTTGGTTTCTCATTGTTTAGTGGACAGCTACACATTTAACACAACTTCATGGTGGTTGCCAACAGTAACTGTAAAACAGTTGGACTTGTAAATGGTTTAAGTCTTTTGGAGCATAGTTAATACATGCATGAAGTTAGCATTCGCTGCTCATCAACCTGCTCGACAGAATATTATTTTTGTGTATTTTATGAAAATTGATTTGGTAGAGATCAGAAAAGAAAATAATAACTATGAAGGGCTAATGATGTAATTATTGAAAAACACAAAGGACACACCAGTAGCATTTTGGAGTCACATAAAAGGACACTAGGATTTGGGAATTAACAAAGTAGCGGTGGTCCCTTTTGGTCCTCAAGTTTGTGGCTGAAATTTCACAATGCTCCAGAACGAATCAAAACCTTCCAAAACCGTTTAATTTAAAAAGCTCATCAATTTTCATCTTTGTCTTGAAGTCCAAGCATTAAGTACATACAATTGCATATTCCTCAGGTTTCTTCTAATTTTATCTTGGGGACCTTGATAAAATCATTCACTCAATATATATATGATTATCTTATCCGTCTTGTTAATAAAACTAGAAGAAAAAAAAATCATTTCCAAAACCAACAAAATCTCCATATCGGTGAAATTTGACGGGGTCATGTATTTGCTTGAAAGAATTCGTAAAATATAATGTGATTATATCTTCTTTCTAAGATAAGTAACACTCCGTGAATTCACCTTGGAATTGGGCTAGAGTCTCTATACATCATTAGGAAACCAGAAAAACATTCTCAACAAACTATAGTCGAGCTTAATTAACCAAGAAAATAGTTGTTGGAACATCTTAAGAAAAAGGAATGAATTTGAAAATGATGGTCATAAGAATGGAAATCCACACAAAACGTTAGAAGAAATAATGAGTAGTGATCAAGTTTTGTGTGGTTGAAAGCAAGAGTTTTTTTTTTTTTTTTTCGTCAGTCTATACTCTATAGATCGTTATAATATCTTTGTTATTTCTTTATTTAAGGAGCTTGTCTGGATTCCAATATGTGATTCAGTGTCACAGAGTAGCAGTAGGAACCCGTGAACTCTTTGTGGTCAATTAGGTACATCCGAACCTCTCACTTGCCACTTGCCCCACCTACAACAACTCATTATCACGTATAGTAATATTTAGTAGGGATGTCGTTGAATCTCAGACAACACATAAAAAAATTACGAGATCCATTCAAGAGAAGAAAAAAATAAAATAAAATGAATCTCATTTATTTTTTATGTGTGCATGAGACAAAATTATCTCGTACAAAAAACATGTTTTTTATTTGGGTTATGAAAAAACAAAATGTAGCTAGAAAAACAAAATAAATTAAATTAAATTAAAAAAAAAACTTAGCTAGTCCGTGAACCTCTTCCTCTCTTTTGCTATTCAATTATTCAACGCACAATCCCTCACCACCAAACAAAATAAAGTTCTTCAACATCAAAGTCCAATCCATTCCAAGTGGCTTTAGAATATTGGATTTGAATGATTGGATTTTTATTAGATTAGGAAGTTGTCAAGTTTTAAGTTGATTATTATTTTTAATTACATGATCCTTTTTCCCTTCGCCTTCATTTATGAGATGTTACGGCCTCTTCTTTCATCTTTGCTGTGAACAGTTTTATACTTCGACATATTTACGATGTGGCCCTGCATATAGTGCACACAGGATCCGATCTAAATCTAGAGAACAAGCAAATGTTCCTGTTTAATGCATGTTGTCTTTTGTAGCTTAGCAAAGCATTAAGTTGTCCCAAAAAAGTGACATGTATAAGGGGAAAAACATACATACACCTTTCATAATCAACCCTCTACAATTACTACAATTTTTCATCTTAATTTTTGTTTAACACTAAGACCCCTCTTCGTGTTTGGCTAACGGTAAAAGTTATAGTTTCCATTAATTCAAACGGAGGGTAGCGATTCCTTACAGAAATTCACCATCTGTGGAGAGGTTAAAAGTTATATTTAACCGGAAGGTAAAATATATAATCCATTAATTAAAATTAATCCAAATTATTTAATCCATTAAAGAATATGAGTACGAATAATAAAAGAATGTGAAAAGTTCACAAATATTTTTGTGATTTGCTTCAAAATCACTTGTGCCCTTATGATTTTTTTGTTTATCACGTATCCTTATATGATTTGTAAAAAATAAAAATTCATATGGACATACATGATAAAAAATATATCCTTTTACAAATTATAGGAGCATATGTGATAAAAAAAGGATATAGATAATTCTGAAGTAAATCATACGTAAATTGGTAAAAGATATCCTAAACTCACGTGAAAGTATCTCTATGGAGCATGCTACTACTTACAATAGCAGCAATATTCACTAATATAAATGGGATATGTTATTTTTATATAAGTGTAATAATAAGAAATTTTATGTTTATTTTTGACATTTAATTTACTTGTATCTAATAACTCTTATTTTTTAAGAAATCAAGAGAGATAATTTGTCCTAGTTTGCATAGATTTAATGGCGGCAATTGATAAATCATTTATTTAATTAGATGATACAATTTTCAAGGAATTTATTTTGTATATTAAAATATGGAAAAAAAATTTAAATATTTCTTTTTAATTAATATTTACAAAAATAGTCATTTTAAATATAAAAACGACTCTATAACACTCAAACATGTCCACAGAGGACGCGACCTGATGGAGAGAGACGCCTCACAGGGAAACACATCTTTGGTGCTACTGGAGTATGTACTCCTTTACTAAAAGTAGAAAAGAGTGATAGTTTTGGAGAAAATAACCATACAAGGAAGGGTTAAATGGTAAAAAATATTATATTTTTCAAATTAAGTAAATGATGTATGGAGTCTTAATACTCTTGTAGTATTGGAGATATTTCTCTCACAGGGGGCATGTTTTAGGAGAGAGACATGCCCCATAAGGGGCGTGACTAACCAGGTGCTAACACGTGGCAGAAAAGTCAACAGTTTGACCGTAAAACTTTAGAAGGCCATAACTTTTGACTCGGATGTCCGAATTAGGTACTTTTTTTTATTATACACAACTTTTCGAGATCTACACAATTAGGTCTCATTGAAGGGGATTGGTAAATTTTTTTTCAAAATTTTGAATATTTTATCGTAAAACTTCGGAAGGCCATAATTTTGGCTTCAGGTGCTTGAATAAGTTTTTATTTTATTCCACATAATTTTTCGAGACGAACGTGTTGGTACGTTCTCGTGGTCATTTTTTTTTTTCCATAAAATGCTTCCTTGTGCTCTGTTTTACATATTTTATATTTGTGAGTGTTAACGATATTATTTAAGTTGAAGTTTTGTCTCCTATAAATATAATTTCAATTTGCAACAAAAGTACCATAATCATAAGGATCTTTATGAGGAATGTTTTTAATCATGAGGTTTTCTCTTTATTAATCTGGCTTTAAATATTTTTATAGAATCATTGTTGTAAATTCGAACTTTTTCGTGAAAGACAAAATATGCCAAATGAGGTGTCATTGTGTATATCTCAAAAAGTTGTGAGGAATTTGTAAAAAAGAAAACATGGCCTTCCAAAGTTTTACGATAAAATATTCAAAATTTTGAATTTTTTTTTTCCAAATCCCTTTCAATGAGACCTCATTGCGTAGATCTCAAATAGTTGTGTGGAATGAAAAAAATACCTAATTCGGACTCCTAAATCAAAAGTTATGGCCTTCCAAGTTTTACAATCAAACTGTTGACTTTTTGTGTCACGTGTCAGCATCTGATGAGTCACGTCCTTGTGAGATGTGTCTCTCTCCATCAGGTCACACCCCCTATGGAGCGTGTTTCAGTACTATAGATTTGTATTTATATTTAAAAAGATTATATTTTCATAATTTTTTATTAAAAAAATAATATATTAATTTTTTTGCCATTAAAATATATTTTTTAAGAGTAATTAAATTCTTTAATTTTTCTTTTCTTTTCTTTTCCTTGACACAAAATTTCCACGCGCTTTAGAAAATAATAAAATAAAATGGCGCTGCTTTGAAGTTTGGGATAATTGGTGAGTGTGAGTGAGGAGTAACGACCTCAAGTTCCTGTTGTAGTTACTTTGCAAACTCGTCTCCATGCACTTCCAGAAGCTTCCACGCTCTCCTCCTTCTTCGTCTGGTACTGTTTCTCTTTTCTCTACATAAGAAACAAATTAATTTCCATTCATTCTAACGCAAATCACATTTAGGAGAGATTGCTAAGACGAGGTGTTCTGTTTGATTGATAGAAGTGTCTAGTCAATGACTAGTAAATTTATATAAGATCCTGATACTCTCTCTAAGATATCTATAAATGAAAATATCTTGAGATATTAGATCACTGCGCGCGCACAGTTGAAAATGGGGATTGTCAAAAGGGTGATGTATGCGCACAACCTAATAGTATAGGAGAGAGATTTGTCGATACCTATAGCTTTTACTTATTTTTTATTTATAGAGTTTACTTTGGGTAATAGAATTATGAGCTTTTAATAGTATGTGGGCTCTATATGCCACTGTATTCATATCATGATAGGATTATCATTAATAAGGGGATTCTTTCCTGATGTGTATGATTATTGGACCTTCAAATATATGGGCCTTGTATAGGTCCTATGTAGCACCGATACCGACACAGGACACGATACGACACGATACTCCGACACGTTAATTCTAAAAATATTAGATTTCGACACGTCAGGACACGTTTTGATATTAAATATTTTTATTTTATGTAATGTATATTATATTTAATACTCAATAATTTAATAAAAAAATGAAGTTAAACTTCTAACACCCATCAATTTTGCAAAGAAACATAAGATATCCCAAATATTACATTAAATTCAATAAAATGGTAATCGTAATCCAACGAATCTAATAGTTGGAACTAAAAACGCAACGCAACGCAACCTACCTTTGAACCTTTTTTTGAGTTTTTACAATGCGTGATAGAGTGCCAGGGAGTGTCGGAGAGTGTCAGGAAGTATCGGACACGACACGTTAGAATCTTTGAAGTGTCGGTGCTTCATAGTCCATAAGACGAAGGTTTCTACTTTTCTTTACAGCAATTTTGCACTCTCTCTGTGTGTGATGCCAATTATGCTGTGGGATACGGATTTAGCATTATCAAAATTAAAATTAAAATGCTTCTTAAGGACCTAGAATTTTGCTTGTATCAGGGAATGTGTTCTTTCTTGTTGGTCATCATGTAAGCAACTGGAAGACTAGTAATGGATGTGACTTGGACGTGAGAGTCTTTGATAATAGATTATTCCGTAAGAATCAGAGAGGTGGCAAGAAATGTTTTGTGAAATTCTTAGGAGCATCCATATCCTGTTCTGCCGGTGCTAGGAATGATGCTCTTCTGCCTTCTATTGAGCAACTAAGTGATGCACGGGTGATATATTCGGTTGCTCCAGCTATGGGCCACAACCAGGTATATTCAGCTGCATTCTTCTTTATTCATTTATCTGCAATTGTTTTGAATTCGAAATCATTGAGTTGGTTTCCCATGTTCTTTTGGATAACTTGGATTTCTAAGTTATTTCATGTTCTTATTTCATTCTTTATAAGCTTGTTTATCAGGGGATTATATATTTGTATTCTAGCAAAAGAGAAGTTATCTGTGAAGGAAAGCACAGAGTTGGAGGATTAAGAACCCTCCTAATAGCAAAAGAAAGAAGAAGAATAAAAAAGAGAAGTAAAGAAAATCACAGCTTGAAAGAGCTCCCCAATCTCTCTGCAAATCTTGCTGTGATAACCCCCCCTTGAAAAAACCATGAACACAAAGCTACATAGAAGCAAGGAGTATCTTAACCTTTTCGTAATCATCTTTTGTGATCATGTATGTATTATGTAGATTACATTAACCATTAACTGTTACATAGGGCAATGTTATCTATAAGAAAGAAAATGTGCAGTATTTCCTAAGTTTCAAATGTATGTTCATGTATGTATGTATGTATGTATGTTTGGGATTCCTTTGTTATCCTTTGTTTTTACGAGGGCACCAATAACATTATCAATTAGTGGCTAGTATTTAGCTGTGTCTAATTTAATTGAAATATAAATACAGCAATAACTTGCTCTGTTTGTATGCCTGCGTGTGTATAGATAGGGCTGGAACACAATAAGAGTCTTGAGAATTTAGAACGATAAGTGATTATGTTATTGGTGAGAATTTAGAAGAGCCCCGAATTTGGAACGTTTATAGCATGCTGTTAATTCTGCCAGTCCAGTTAGTTAGACAGCAGTTTAGTTAGTTAGTCAGTTAGCATGTTGTTGTTAATAGGTGGCTTCCCCGTCATGTGTTTAAAGGGGGATCGTCCCCTGTTTTAAACTCCCTTTTAGTTCTATTCTTTTAGAGTTTTGTCGTAAGAATGAGGGTGCTTAATGAGAAAGGGAGAGTTCCCTTTGTGATGAGGTTCACCTCTTGTGTTCTTTCATCGTTTATCAATAATATTTCCTTTTTCCTTCATTTTCCTTCCTTTCCATTTCCCCTTATTCCCATTACATTAGTAGTTTCTTGCCTTAAAGAATCCAGAGCCCTAACCGATTAATTATGTTGGAATATTATCATAATCTTTTCTTCCCTAATTTTGGTTAGAAACCAGCAGAGATTGTATGTGTTGCCACTGGCCACTATGTCTGAACTTATCACATTATTGTGATTGTAATTTGGATATACCACTTCTAACAGGAGTCTCATCCAGAATCACATTTTAGAGTTCCTGCAATTGTGAATGCTCTAGAAGAAATGAAGCTCGCTTCAAAGGTACTAATAGCAATGGACATTGTGCTTCAGAATCTCCATCTTTGTCATCTGTATGTATCTTGGTGATATCTTCTTACAATGTATTTCTTTTAAAGGTTTGAAACTTTGAATATAAATTATAATATAGACATTGGTATTAGAGAACTTAATTGTTTCTAAAATTCATTAAAAAAAAAAAACTGCTGCATTCTGATGTCTAATCTTTGTTTCAAAGATGAAACCGTAAAAGAAAAAAAGTGTTCACTAGATAAACCACATTTTTTTCCTGGTATCAAAATAAGCTACATTTTATTATCTAGAATAGACCACCATCTTCTTTTGGTAATTTGCAATGATTCGCATTTGATTTAAAGACATACCAACTTCCCCAGGCAATCTATGACCATAGGTTTGTGAACGAGTCAGCTAGAGAAAGCTTGCCAACTTATGAGAAAAGACTGACTTAACTCTTAACTGGATGATAATGTGGAACTGCATTATGATTAGCCATACTTGTATAGTGGCATTGAATAGTAAAGTATTTTCATTTCCACAACAACTTCGTTTTATGTATGGTTCAGTTCCGTGGCTCTGATGTAATTGAACTTCAACATTTTGAGCCTGCTTCAGTAGATGACATTGCAAGTGTGCATGCAAGAACCTATGTTTCTGGCCTGGAAAAGGTAACATTTTTTTTAAAGTTGTCCTTTTCTTCATTTATTCCTTTAGTTAGAGGTTGTATTCTCTGAATTATAGTATTTTTAATTTTACATTATACTTTATATTTATTGCCTATGCTTTCTTTTATGCCTTCCATTTTCTTTCCAATTCTTGCTGTTGTATTTCCAGTAATACATGATGCATCACATGAATTTTTAGTTGTTAAATTTGCAGTGTGCTTTGGCATCAATTTACTTTCGCACAATGCATGCTTTACTTTAGATATATATATATTTTTGGATACAAGTGAGAATTGAACACATAACTTAATACAACTTACGCATATCCCTCACCACTAGATCAATCCTAGTGGCTTGCTTTACTTCTGATTTGGTGCACAGTGATGATAAAACATCAAATCAAGGATTGCTGCTGCGCACTAAATTGTTCATTGGGTATTTATGCTTAGATAGATGTCTTACTAATGTCTTCTGATTAGTCCATTCTCCATTGTCCTAGTTTTTAGGTCAAAATTTCACCATCACTTGCCATTGGCATAGTTTTTGTGATCCTTAAGCCTTTCATAATTTCCTATTTTATCTAAATTTACCATGGCACTGAAAATTCTTGTACTGAAGTTTGAGATATTTCCTCTTCTGAATTGTTACAGGTTATGGATCAAGCTTTGGAGAAAGGCCTTATTTTCATTGATGGTTCTGGACCAACATATGCTACTGCCACTGTAAGTGCTATGCTCAGAGCTTTATCTTCTTCCCCAGGCTCGTAGTGTTTGTGGAAAGTCATTCTATTCTAGACACTTTATATTTTAGTTCACTCTGGTACAAGATACATTTATCCAGTGAAAAAATTATGATGGTGGTTGTGTTTTTGCATTCTTATGGTAGTGTTAATGATGCAGACCTTCCAGGAGTCAATAGTTGCAGCTGGTGCGGGATTAGCCTTAATTGACTCAGTGGTGATCTCTCAACCTGGCATGTCCATCTCTTGGTGATAATCTGTGTGTTTGTGTGTGTTTTGGGGATGGGTAAGTCAGTGGATATGGATATATACATATCTGCTTCTTCTAGTGATGTGCATACTGGAAATGACTATTTCGTTCTTTGTTGGAAATTTGGATCTTTGCTTTATCAGAACTAGATATTGTCTGAAAATTTCATATATCTACCTTTCTGTTTCTCTTTCAATGTTTTGGGGAAGAGGGGAGTCACAAATATAACAAGTTTTGAAACTAAAATTGTGTGTTCCTGATTGGCCTTTTTAGTATCCAGTACATTTTAAGTTGTCAGAAATGTAAACATTATTCCTAGGTCTCCACCTAAGCTTAAGCTTTTAGAAACATGGTATAAAAGTCTCCGTGACTAAGTGATCAGGAGTTTGACCTTGCTACATGTATTCTTCATAAGAAAGTTGAATTTCAGCACAAAATGGAGGTCTTATGGTCTATGCTTCAAGTCCAACAGACTCTTGCATGAGGAGCTGTGTTAGAGATATAAAAATATTCCTAGGCCTCCACCTAGCTTAAGCTTTTGGGATGGTTTGCCTTTGACATAAATGTTTCAAGAATTGTAGGGAACTAGGGATTGTAATTCTTATTTGGATATTGGTGTGCCTCTAAAATGTGGCAGAAAAGGAAAGAGGAGCAGAGCCAGGGTCAATGGGCCAGGTCCAGCAAGACAATTGAGCTCAGGTCCAGTAGTGCAGGGGGGCTCGGAGAATGTGGGTTCAGAGAATGGGACTAACGGTTTGGGGAGGGAAATTGGGAGGATATAGTGAGATTGTGAGCGGGGGTGAGGTTTTTCATGCATGTACTGACTAATGGCTGTAATAGGGTTAAGAGGAACTGCTGACAGTTCTCTAGTATGCTTTTCTGGTGTTAATTTTGTGTTTCAAGGCGGTTCTCAGCCATTTTAGCCCACTGCTTCAGTGGATTGGTGTCTGTAAGGAGCTGAGTATCCATTGTTAGGTTTTCAATACAATACTCTCTGATATTGGTTCCATCAGATATAAATTTCTCTTATTCAATTTCATATTCAGGTTGCAGCTTCAAAGATAAAGAGAGATCCACCCACTGGTTTTGCTTTGATAAGACCACCAGGACATCATGCTGTTCCACAAGGACCTATGGGCTTCTGCGTTTTTGGAAATGTAGCCATCGCAGCTCGTTATGCTCAGCGTGTTCATGGACTAAAGCGCGTGTTTATCATTGACTTTGATGTTCACCATGGGAATGGAACAAATGATGCTTTCTATGATGATCCAGATGTATTTTTCCTTTCATTTCATCAAGTAAGCTACAAGTTTTCCATAGCTTTGATCATATTAACTGTGCTGCTTCATTGATTCTGAAATGCCATCTGTTATCAATGCTTCTCTTTTCCTTTTGCAATGCGCGCTTATTGAAGTTTTAGAAGCCATGTTAGTCAGATTTATCTTTGGTTCAAATTTGTTAAGATTCTTGAAATTTTATGTCTATATCAAAGTAACAATTCTGGATTATAGCTCAATTTTATTTTACTTAGAGCTGATGCTGTGTGGTAGAAGGAAATGTGGTACTATAATAAGATAGAAAGATTAGGCTGGTTCTGATGCATCATCCACCCTTCAAGCCTAATGGGCTCTTGTAGAGAATAATTTAAACCATTAAAAAACTCTTTACCCAACGGCTTAAACTTTCGGGTTGAATTGTTTCTTTAGACATATTTTTTCTAATTGGCATTCTTGCCAAACCTTGTCAATTTGCCAGTAGCAGTACATTCCTCAAAACATTCATCCTTCATTCTCCTCCTCCTCTCCCTCTATATTCTCACTCCCCTCAACAGGATTCGCTTCCTTTCCCACTATAACTTCTGCCAGCTCAGCATTTTGTTATGGCTCAAACCCATGGAATCCATATTTTCTTCAATCTGTCATATCCTCGTTTCCTACCAGTGCAGCTCCACTCCCTCCTATTTTCTTCTTTCTAGAATATTGCTGATAAGTAATAAGGGTCTAACATGGAATATCTATATGTTTATTCTTGACTTAACTTCATTTTCCCCTTATCTATCAATGTAATTGCAGTGTCTCCCCTGATCTTTGATTTAAGCATATTATCTTCTAATATACTAGTGCACATTGCAAATTGCATTCCTCCATGATAACATTATTTATACCGTTGGACAAATTGAATTAGCCAAAACTTCTCAAATCACAAATCACAAATCGCTAAGAGAAGAGCTAATCAAATACCTTAATTTCCCCATTCCTTACATATTTGCATATAATCAACTGTATTAAAATCATACACATTACTCCCTCCCCCCGTTAGCACATGCCATCATATCATATGGTAATGTAACGAGGTACTAGACACATGATATGGAAGTTCTGGTTTTTTAAGTGGCTCAATATGGGGTGGGGTGCGGGGTAATGCGTGAGGTAAAGAGAGAGATTTCGTGAAGATAAGAATGGTATGGGAGATATTGGTGTGCTAAAACGTGAAGAAAACGCGTAGTATGACTTTGAGCCTTGCTATATTTAATAACTTTTATGGCTCAGGATGGAAGCTATCCAGGTACTGGTAAATTCGATGAGGTGGGTAAGGGAGATGGTGAAGGAACCACACTAAATCTGCCTCTTCCTGGTGGCTCAGGTGATACTGCTATTAGAACAGTTTTCGATGAAGTCATTGTACCATGTGCCCAAAGATTTAAGCCAGACATCATTCTTGTTTCTGCCGGGTGAGTCTTTCTTTGAATAATTCTCATGAAAGCAAATACGGAATAAAACTGTTAGTCAATTTCAGCAAGTTGCGTTCCAGCATACCTGGTGAATTGTTAGGTTTTCAAGCACACCAACAAATTTGATTCTACTATGAAATTTGGATTGGATTTTTAATGCTACAAATTATAAAATAAATTGTCGCCAATCTGTTTTTTTCTCCGTTTGGAATTTCATGTGATTTCATTTGTCAGGTATGATGGCCACGTGTTGGATCCACTAGCTAATCTCCAATATACAACCGGAACATATTACATGCTTGCGTCCAGTATTAAACAACTAGCAATAGATTTATGTGGTGGCCGGTGTGTGTTTTTCTTGGAGGGAGGATATAATCTCAAGTCTCTTTCATATTCAGTGGCAGACACATTCCGAGCTCTTCTCGGGGATCGAAGCTTGGCATCTGAGTTTGATGACCCTAACATTTTGTATGAAGAGCCATCAACAAAGGTTAAGCAAGCAATTCAGAGGATAAAACACATTCACTCCCTGTGATGTTGAATATCAAAACCTGACATGACAAATATTTATCTAGTATTAAATTTTCATTTTCTGTACGCTCCAACCATAAGTATATGTCTATACCCCTTGTGTGGGCATTGTCCCACTTATCACATAGAAGAAGCCAAGCCATTGTACAGGATTGCTTGTTGTCTTTGAACAAGAACTCCAGTTATGAGATGCCACGCAGCCGTATTGATCATGCAGAGTCATTATACGAAGTTGAACCAGTCTCAGCTAAGAGACATTATGTACTAAATGTAAAGGGATAACCCCTTACTTTTTTTTTTTTTTCTTGTTGGTAAACAACCCCTTACTTTATATCTTTACCTCATTTGTCTCCTTCAAGATATTTTTAAGTGCTCTGCACTTACCCAGTTGAGTTACCCCAGCCAAAGAAATAGTCACGTCTGTTGTGCATGGTGTATCACTGTGTCTCGCTTGAATCGTTCATTTATCAAGCTTAGAAGTCTGGAGCAAAATTTTCTGCATCGAAGTACAATTGTTCAGATACAAGTTCTTATTTCATGCTACACAAGAAACAGTTAGGCACAATTTTAATAGAATTTGCAAATTCAAAGCGAGTAGGGATCATTTATTTAATCGAAAGTAAATAAAAATGTTAATTCAATTATCAAATATTATGACAAAATAAACCATTTTTAATATTTAATTGGTATGAAGTAAAAAAAAACTCATTTCATCAACACACAAGAATTTATGGTTTAAATCAGAAAGTTATCACTTGCTACACCCTCTCTTTCTAATAATCTATTTTTGAAAAAATATTATTAACTGATAAAAATATAAAAAAATGTCTATGTTAGTATTTTAAAATTATACTTTTTTTATAAGGTTTGTCATTTATTATAAAAAATATACTTGTTATGAAGTTTATCATTTATTTATAAATATATCAAAGTGGTCATTTGATAATAGTTTTAATCTTTTCATTAGCGATTCGTACGTTAATCACTTTAAGGATTAATTTGATGTAATATTTTGACATTAAAGAATTTTTTTAATATATTTATAAATAGAGGACGAGCAAAATGAAACTTATATATTTGGATGCTTAAAATTGTTATTCTGTAAAAAATATTGCAACTAAGAAAGAGGTTAACACATTCATGGGAGGAATAATTTTTTACTGGTGGAATAATACGTAATTCAATTCCATGCTCTATTGCTCTATTCTATGAAATGAGGGATCTCATTTTTTTTCTAACAGAAAAAGAAAAGACATAAAATAGATTCCTTATCTCATTTGATAGTTAGGAAACAAAGCGGTAAAATTGCAGTAATTGCATACTTTATGAAAAGCAATTTTAATAATATCATTTATAATATTGTGTTAATACATTAGTATTTAAAGTAAATATTTTGTGTTATCAAAAAAAAAAAAAAAGTAAATATTTTGTCAAAAATTACAAATATATCAATACTTAACTTTCCATAACTAAAGCTTTAACACTGAACTTTCAACATCAAATTTTTAATTTTGTTAAACACTAGTGTAGACATATATAATCGTCAATTCGAAAAGGATAGATGATAGAACGATGAAAAAGCAAGGCGTCCAAGTTGACTTTTTGGTGGGCTGGTGATAATAATAAAATGACATAGAACGTGAGCTTAAATCTTTCTTGTGGAATAAAAAGTAAAAGCAACAAAGTCTTCATGTCAAAAATTGAAACGTGGTAAAAGCTAGGTTAAAGAATAGCTTGATAATTTCCAAAAAAAAAGTAGCTAGATACTTTATGTATTTTCACATTGAAAAGGCGCTTTCAACTGACAATATTCCCCAAGTGGCAATGGGTTCCAGGGAGTTTAAGGTTCAAGTGCCATGATGATAAAAGGACACTGAGTTAAAAGTTAAAACACTTGTCTATTGATCAACCTAGTGTTGGCTAAAGGTATTTGACCTACCAACTATTGCATGACGCTGGAGCTCATCAACTTTTATCCTTTAGCGAAGCGTAATGATGGTTAATAAAAAAGCTACGTACTAAACCATAAAACCCGCCATAAAATGATGGTCAATGAACAAAGGAAATTTTCTCTTAGTTTTGAGTATTTAGGTGTCATCAAAACATAAGAAGAATTATTCCAAATCTCCAATTTGAAGTGATATTCCATTAATGTGAACAAATAGAATAACAGGCATTCAGAGCATCAACAGTTCAACATCTAATTAAATCCTCCTTTAACGTTGTAATAATTAAAATTTCAAATGGGTTACCTTTAAATTTAATATTTTAATGATTTGAACAGCTGGGAAACTTTGTTGATAGCTACTGTTAAAGTGATTCATTCTTGTGAACACACGGCGAAAGTGAGCAAGAACCTTTTTTTATTTCTTTTTATTTTACTTATGTTTTTATTTTTATTTTACTTCAAAATGATTTGAGACGCGAAATATATCATTCCCCATCATCGATGGATGGATTGTCATGACTCATAGACGTGGAGTTCTCCAGTGTCAAGCCATTTACGATCGTGCCTTCAACTTCAAGGACTAGCAAGAACATTTAGATTCAAGTTATGTGATAAATATTAAAAAATATAAAATTAGGGTTTAAAATTTCTAAAGTTATTTTAGACAATTTTATCTAATATTCATCAAAATACACATAAAAAATGTATGAGGTTCATTTTTTTTTTCTTTCTCTTCTCTTCACATGGATTCACATAGACATCCTCCCCACACTTTTTATATGTATTTTAATAAATATTACATAAAATTATCTAAAATAACTTTAGAAATTTTCAACCCATAAAACAAGTATGAAACCATATTACCTATGTCAAATTCTGCATGCAAATGGAAAAGATTAATTGATGGGAAACCTAATCGTGATGGGATTATGCCAGCAAAGCAAGGGTAAGGAAAGAATTGACAGTTGATAAAAAGGAGGAAACACATGAACTATGCAGATAAGACACGTTTCAATTCTCATAATGTATATCGTCGCTAACTTAAATAGTTATGCACCATAGTTTGATGTTAACTTAAATGGTCAATTACTACGTAACTTCTATTGTTAGCATCCTTGGCCGGCTTTCTTGGCCCTACTTTCTTATAGTGGTATTCCACGCAACGCCGCCTTTCTTCTTGCAACTCAATTCTTTTTCTGAATCATATAATCTATCAAAATCTCAACCTCTCTCTCTCTCTCTCTCTCTCTCTTGCTCTAAGTAACTATATATATATAGTGACAAACTTGACCCAAATGCCAAAGTCTATCTTCCATACAAACTAAAAGAAAGAAAGAAAGAAAAAAAGAAAAAAAACAAATAATGGTGGGTGGAAGTGTTAACCTTCCTCCAGGGTTTTGCTTCTGTCCAACAGATGAAGAACTTGTACTTCACTTTCTCTATTCCAAAACTTCTCTACCAACCCATCCCAACATCATACCTGATCTTGACATGTCTCTGCTTGATCCTTGGGAATTAAATGGTATGTCTCAATATCCTCACTTAATTGGTGTTTTTTTTTTCTTACTTTTTTTATTTTTTTATTAATTCGGTTTGATCCGGTTCGATTCGTGCACTGTCCAATTCATTTTCTTTATTCCTATAATTAAAACTGGATTAAAGAAACAAGTTTTTCACTACTTGAAGCAATAGTTGTTAGTTAAGTTCAATTAAATTTTTCAATATAGAAGTGATATAATAACCATATGCATATATGCATGGATCAAACTACATGACTTATATCTATATATGTATATATACTTGCATAGGTAAAGCATTGTCAAGTGGAAATCAACACTATTTCTTCACCGAAGTGAAGGAAAACAGATCCACAAAAATTGGATATTGGAAGGAAATAGGAGTCGCCGAAACTATTGTCTCAGCCGGTGATAAGAAAGTGGGAATCAAGAAGTACCTCGTGTTCAACCTCGGGGAATCTCCACGTGGCACTGAAACAAGTTGGGTAATGCAAGAATATCATATTTGCTCATCTGGGTTTAACACTGCATCTTATGGAAGTTCTCGAAGAGGACAAAAACCTGTAAGTGATTTTATTTTGTTAAATTAAGCCAATTATCCTGGTACACATATATAACATGCATGGGAAGCTGAAGAACCTTAATTTGTATTAATTCTCCAATTGTGCAAGACAGGATGAAAGTAGGAGCAAATGGGTTTTATGCAGAGTCTATGAGAAGAAGATGTCACAATCTGAACAAGGTGCAGAGTGTTATAGCGATGATGACGACAGTGGAACAGAGATTTCATGGCTAGACGAAGTTTATATGTCGTTAGATGATGATCTTGAAGAAATATATAAGCCTGCAAAATTAAATTAAATATATATTAGGATCTTGTATACAATTTCTCAATTACATGTATTTTGACTGGTAGATTAATTAAGGAGTCTATAGTTAGTTACATGCAGGAGAACAAAGATGAGTACCATTTTAAGTAATGACTTTTCGGTTGACGTCCTTATATGTACGTACACCATATATATACATAGATAGAAAACATTTTGCGTGGAACTTCATTACTACTTTATACTTTATATAGATAATTTTACTAAGATGTAAATTATATTCTTAAACTTGCCCGTTGTTATCAAATAATGATAGTTAGTTCAGTTGGCGTATGAGAGCTGAACAGGTGAGAATCAAAGCAAGTTCAATCCTCCTAGTATCATCTTTGGAAGAGGTTTAAAACCTTAATCATATACTCACCCCAAATAAAGTTAATACTTGTGATTTATTCAAAGAAAAAACTTGGCCGTTGATCTCAGTTTTATCATTTTACTTCTAAACCCATATATAAAATGTCTTTTTCTGTTTTCTTAGTTAATTGCACCGAATGCTATAAGTCATTTCTTAAAGTTAATCTAACAGTTTATAATTTAAGAAAGCTTCAATTGATCTTTTATCTTTGACTGGATAGGATCCTGAATTTAAAGAAAACGAAGAGTAAGAACAATTGGGAAACAAATTATTAAATTTGTTGCAATGATGATTAAGATATTTAAGATTTACACGTAGTGTCATTATAAGCTCAATCAAGACAGATAACCTGTGTGACTGTGTCGACCTAGATATTGCTTTGTCTCTTTTTTAAATTTAATTTCTCAATTTTAGTATTTTAAAATTATTTTCAGAACAATTTTTTAAAAAAAAAATAATTCTATAATATTTACGCAAATAAATCTAATACACATAAAATATATAACTTTCCTAATACAATTTTTTGAAATAAAAGAATAACACAAAGCAAATGGAGTGGATCCCGATCCCAATCCCACGTGTGGGATACATGCACTTCATCTTTGTGTTCCCCAACTAGCTAGGTGTCTAGCATTATTGTTCTTAAAATAGAGACCCCTGTGCACAACATAAGCCATGGAAATTAAGTATAACTCCCACTTGGAGTGGACAACCACCAAAACAAAACGAACATGACTTCTTTTCGCTTCCCCCTCCTCGCATTTCTAATTTTCATTAAAAGAAAAAAAAAAAAAAAAAAAAAAAGCAAAAGAAAAGATATTCCTCTCTTAATTTCTCCCTGCATCTTCTCCATTTCTCACTTTCAATTTATCTGTTACCCCAATCAAATCATATATTCTTTTCCAATCAGTTTTTGCATGCAAAAATCTCATTGATGATGTTGCATGCATACATATATACTATATATATATATATATTATATATATATATAGCTGGTGCCTTGGTAAAAGTCAGGTAATTAATGCAATATGACACATAAAAAAGAAGCCTCAATATATTGGGCTTGCATATAATAAAGAGGAAGATAGCGTTGCAGTGATCAAGGAAAGGAAAGAAAAGATGGAAGATATAAAAAACACAACATTAGAGGAGATAGTGTGTTATGAACCATCTATGATAACAACAGATGGGATATGGTCAGGACAAAACCCTTTGAACTATGCTCTTCCTCTCTTCCTCTTGCAAGTAGTTTTAGTTGTGACTGCCACCCGCATATGCGAATTCATACTCAAGCCCATTCGCCAGCCACGCGTCATTTCTGAAATCTTGGTTAGTTTCTCTACCACACCACAAAGATTTTCCATTGCATGGCATGGCATGGCAATATATAGCATGCATGATTTCATGATATATATAGCTAGCATTATATATATGTTATTTATATGGTTACCATGCATGCGCATGCGCATGCATTGATTGAATTGATACAGGGAGGAGTAATATTGGGTCCTTCGGTGCTTGGGAGAAGCAAAACATTTGCTGATGCAGTGTTTCCTCTAAGAAGTGTGATGGTGATTGAAACAATGGCAAACGTTGGTCTCATTTATTTTCTCTTCTTGTTGGGAGTGGGGATGGATGCATCTGCATTACGAAGGATTGGTAAAAAATCAGTGACCATAGCAGTTGCTGGTATGATCTTGCCTTTTAGCATTGGAGCAATCTTCTCCTTCTTTCTGATTGGAGATCATAAAGGAGGAACTACCAAAGGCTCTTACATCATACTCCTTGGTGTTGTTCTCTCTGTCACAGCACTTCCTGTCCTTGCTAGGATCCTAGTAGAGCTCAAACTCATCAACACAGAGATGGGAAGAGTTGCTCTTTCATCTGCACTCGTTACTGATGTGTGTTCTTGGGCGCTCTTGGCTGTATCCATAGCCTTGGCCGCAAATGAAAAACCTTCCTTGGCTTCCCTAATGGTTTTGTTGTCAAGCGCATTGTTTGTGGCCGTTTATGCTTTTGCAGTGCGACCTGCACTCATGTGGATCGTAAGGAATACCCCGGAAGGTCAATCATTCAGTGATTTCTATATATGTCTGATATTAGCAGGTGTCATGATCTCAGGTTTCATCACAGATTCTTTTGGAACCCATTCTGTTTTTGGAGCTTTTGTGTTTGGTTTGACAATCCCAAATGGACCACTCGGTCTTGCTCTTGTTGAAAAGCTCGAGGACTTCATTTCGGGACTTTTGCTCCCTCTCTTTTTCGCCATCAGTGGACTAAAGACTAATTTAGGTCTCATCAACAGGTTATTCACTTGGGCAATTTTAATCATTCTTGTTGTTCTGGCTTGCATTGGCAAAATCGTTGGAACTGTAATCGTTGCTCTCTCCTATCAAATGTCACTTAGTGAAGGAGCAGCACTTGGCTTGCTCATGAACACAAAAGGCCTTGTTGAAATTGTCGTGCTTAATGTTGGTAGGGACCAGAAGGTACTATATATATATATATATATATATATAGCCAACTATATTATATAGTACATACATGTGCCTAATGCCTTAGTTCCTCTCCGTGACGTGAGTCATCCATCCATACTCATGATGATCAATCACAATTGCTTGCAGGTTTTGGACGAGGAATCATTTGCAACCATGGTGATTATAACTGTTCTAATGACAGGAATAATTGTACCTGGCATATCAGCTTTATACAAACCATCAAGGGGGTTCATATCTTACAAAAGAAGAACCATTCAGATGTCAAAACGAGATGCAGAGTTCAGAGTCCTTGTGTGTGTCCATACCCCTCGGAATGTATCAACAATAATCAACCTCATTGAAGCCTCTAATCCAACAAAGAAGTCTCCAATATGCATCTATTTGCTCCATTTGGTCGAACTCACTGGCCGTGCATCTGCATTGCTCATTGTCCACAGCTCTAGGAAACCAGCTGATCCCCCTGCCTTGAATAGGAATCAAGCTCAATCTGAACACATAATCAGTGCCTTCGAAAACTATGAGCAACATGCTGATAATGTCTCAGTCCAGCCATTAACAGCAGTATCCCCTCATTCCACCATGCATGAAGATATTTGCAATTTGGCCGTGGATAAGCGTGTTGCTTTCATCATCATTCCTTTTCATAAACAACAAACAGTTGATGGTGGAATGGAAACTGCAAACTTGGCTATTCGCACTGTCAACCAGAATGTACTAGCGAAAGCACCTTGCTCAGTTGGGATTCTAGTTGATAGAGGCTTAAATGGCTCCAACCGCATAGCTGCAGATCAATTGTCTAATCATGTGGCTGTGTTGTTTTTTGGAGGGCCAGATGATAGAGAAGCATTGAGCTATGGATGGAGGATGTCAGAACATCCAGGGGTAACCCTTACCATAATGCGTTTTGTTCCAGGAAAAGAAGTGACAAGGCCAGTGTTGCAGCCTAGTACTGTCAACCCAGATGAACCGAGGATACTTAATGTGGAAACAGATCAAGATACAGAGAAGCAACTTGATGAGAAGCTTGTAAATATGCTTATGATGGGTCATGAATATGATGACTCAATTGTTTACATTGAAAAGGTGGTTAACAATGGGGAGGAGACAATGGCAGCAATAAGGTCAACGAATGATGTTCATGACCTTTTCATAGTTGGGAGAGGCCAAGGAATGATATCACCACTCACAGCAGGACTCACTGATTGGAGTGAGTGCCCAGAGTTAGGAGCAATTGGTGATTTGTTAGCATCATCAGATTTTGTAGCAACTGGTTCGGTGTTGGTAGTGCAACAATATGTTGGGGCAGGGTCAGAGGAAGATGAGTTGGGAACACCAGACAATTCAGGGATGACAAATGAAGAATATGTCAATCAGATGAGCCATCATTCAACACCTTCAAGGGGACATACTGTGTTCAATACAGATCATTTGTGAGTAAGCTCTTTCTGTGCCTAATAAAACTTAAAAGAAAAGGCCACAACAAACATTTTCAAATCTGCTTCCTTCGTCAATTCCAAGAAATTTCTTTTTTATCTACTTTATCTTTATTATTCATTTTTGTATTAGGTCTTTGGCCTAGTCCTTCTTTTATTTGTACCTTCAACTCTCGTACAAAATGTACATACAAAATATACAATCTCACACATTTAATAGAAGTACTTTTTTTTTTTTGTACATAGTAGTATATTTTTTTGGGAAGGATGCATTTATAATTTTTTTTTATAAATTATCCTAAGTATGACCGGTCATACACTATTGATTGAAGTATGACCGGTTATATACTCTTGATTGAAGTCTGACCGGTCAGACATAGTGTAGTTTGTAAGAATTTGTAAACAAAAAGTTTGTAAATATAATTTTTCTATATTTTTGTAGTCTTGTGTAAGTGAATTTGATAAGATTAGATTCTGATATGGTATTCCTTATTCATTCTCTCTTGAATGAGAGCTTCACTTAAAAGTCGAACAACTAAAGAGTCTAAGAGCAGCCAACTACAAAGATGTATTAATCACAACCTATCACAATACCAACTGCAATATCAGAAGTGTTCCATTTATCATTTGACAACATTTAAGCTGAGCATAAAAGAGAAGAGTAAAATACCTTCAAATTTGAGGTGGGACAGTCAAAGTCATGAATGGAAACGACCCTGTTCAGACTCCAGGATCTGATCTAAGCCTTTTAATGCATAAGTGTAATGCTGAAAATGTAAAATTAAGACAATTAGAGTCGACGCGTACCAGCTAGCTAAATGAAAGTTATGCACAAAAAGTACTCCATATAGAATAACAATTTATACTTAAATTCATCATTAGTTAATTAACCTTAATCAATTAAGAAATATAATTAATTAGCCTAACAAAAACTTCATTTAAGTATCCACAATGACCTTCAAGAATTCCAAATGAAATTCACAATAAACTGATGGAAATTTACTAGGTTGGCCTTAAATTAAAGATTTAGAATTCGATTCTTGTCATTCTTATTATTTTAATAATGTCCTGCACAACTGACAATAGTGTCACGCATTTGAAAGGATTTTGGAACGGAAATTTTCTTTAATTTTATATTTATTTCTCTTTTAATGATTTTTTTTTATAAATTTTAATACAGGCTTACTTATTTAATATTATAAAGAAGCATTTTAACTCAAAAGCTTAAGATAGCAAGTGATGAGTTTAATTTCAATAGTTTTATATTATATCTCTCTAACACACGCTAATGCAATAGTAATTGGAGCTTGAAGGTGGATATTTGACAGACAAATTTTTTTGATTCTATCTTGTGCTAACCTAATTCCCCTAGAAAGTGAGTTGCGAAAATAACTCGTGATCCCGTGGTCAATTTATCTTTGATGATCGCTTCACTTTCAATTGGTTCTTTACATAGTACCAGAGCCAAGTGACCACGGCGTCACGGATTTGAACATTACCCCCCTCATTTTCTAGTGTAATTAAGTCAATACAACATAGACCAAAAAAAAAAAAACTTGTGCAATTTTCAAGCATCAAGCTAAAAGAATCTTGTGCAAAGAGAATGTGTTAAAGAGATATAATATAAAAATGTTGAAAGTCCATTATTTATCAACTTAAGTTTTTGAGTTAAAATAATTCTTCATAAATATTTATTAATAAAAAATAAACATTAAAGTCTTACATGATTTTATTTTATAAAAATCTCACTACGGACAACGGTCATCTATTCCCCTAAGAAACGCAGCTTCTGCTGAATGAGATTGAGAACAACACTGACGGGGTCTGTTTCCATATATTAATGAGGTGGTCCATATCACTTCACCAGCTTGGAAATTTCTGACTTTAAGTTGAGGCCACCCGAAACGTCTGCATGCTTGATAAAACACGAGCCTATGTTGCAGGCCCAGCATTGGGAACATGCAATGGTTGAATTTCTTGTAAACCAAAATATAGCATATTCGACCAAGCGATGAAAGTTGACTTTATGACTATTGTAGTTTTTATTTAATAATTAATTATTAAATTGACCTTGATTTGAAACTATTTCAAAAATTTAACCTTTCTAGAAAATATAACACTAATCTACCCCTGTTTGACCATTAATCATCAAGCCTATCCGGGTATCCCTCCTTATCCGGATATATTTTGAAAATTTTACCATATCCGGATAGGGAGGGATAGGGGTGTAAATAGGCCAAGGCAGGCAAGACTTTGGCCTTCAGAGCCTAAGCCTACATAATAAAATGGTCAGCCTATCTGGCCTATGAGCCTATCAAAGGCCAGGTTTAAAGGCTAAGCCTGCCCTGTTATTTAAAAAGAAAAAGCCTACATGGCCTATGAGGCCTTTTAGGCCTACCATATTGCAAATTAAATAAAAAATAAAATAAAATATCTCATTCATTAAACAATATTTCCAGCATGGGTCCAAATTATAAAAATTCTACAACAGGTTTTTTTAACAAGAATACAGATTATAAAAATTCATGACAACAAAGATTGAATTTTTGTTGGAACATCACAATCTTCAAGTGAGCCTTGTTATCTTCCTCCTACTTTGATATACTTCCTCACTTTTTTAATCTGTGAAACATCATTGTCCTGCAAAATAAAGTTACCAGAGTGAGCCACTTAATATCATTATCTAATATCAATATCTTTTCGAACAAGTATGAGCCACTTAAATGAAGTTACACAAAATACAAATGATAAAGAGAAGAGTCATACAAGGCAGATAGGTGATTAGTGATAAAAAAAACGACACCTAATTGGAAGTCTAAAATGCTCAATACATTATACCATATTTCCTAAGGAGGTTTCAAGCAATAATATTCTGAAAGCTACTAAAACCCTTTATCTTATAGCACCAACTCTAAGTAGCTTAATTATAGACCTTTTCAGCCAAGCTAGCATTTTAATAACATTATTTACCCACTCTAAGTAGCAGTTTAATCTGTTAGTATGATTCCTTTAGTTTAATCCCCAACATATAGAAGCTAACGCACACCAGCTAGTTGAAGATTCCTTTAGTTTCTTTTTTTGGAAAAAATGATTTATAAGAAATTAACACAGTTCTACTATTTGAAACCGAAATGATAGGTGAAATACGAGATATTTATAATTTTGTAATACTAAAGAGATTGTAGGACCGATATAATGGAGGATTTGTCACATTTACGCGAGACCACTGCAAGTGGTGATACTGATAATGCATCTAATTTTGAAAAAGAGAAAGTGGTGGAGAACGAAACTAAAGGGGGTTTTGGTCCTAAGAAGCAAATAGAGCTTCCATATCATGTCATAGAAATCAGAAATCAGAACTACATGTTACGTTGTTCCAACAGGGCAAAAATAAAAAGCATGCATGTTGATGAAACAGATGAAAGTGGTCTATGGTATTTCAAAATTCACATCCAAAAAACAAGAAATTAGATCAAGCAGGGATGGAAGATCTATGACAGATGAAAGTGATAATGACATGGATGAAACAGGAACCCATCAAAGAGCTTAGAAGAATTCCAGATCTAACACACGCAAGCAAAGGTTGATGATTTGATGATAAAGCTTCAGCATGACTACTCAGAGACTAATCTTACTGAAGCAGATCTAGCACCAAGTGAAGAACCATGACCGTAGTAAAGAAAACACATTGGGATATCACAGCAAAGAAAAAAAAGAGAGTACCTTGATAGATGAGTGACCGGCAGTGAGAGTAGATGAGTGACCGTCGACGGCGGCGGCGGCGAGAATAGATTAGTGACCGGCGGTGGTGACTGGTGAGGGACTTCAACTGAGGCGAGAAAGAAATTGGAATGTGAGACTTGTGAGACTGAGAGTAGGAGCGGCGCACACCAACAGAAAAGAAATTAGGTTTAGACGTTTAATAATTTGTAGAATAGAAATTATATTATACAATAAATATTTTTTTATTTAAAAATTGAAGCAGGCCAGCCTACAGGCCAAAAGGCCGGGCTTTTTTTATTTGGCCTACGGCCTTGTTTTTAAATAGGCTTACTTCCTTCACCTATTCTAAGTACTGTGAAGGCTGGGCCGGGCCAGGCTTTTCATAGGCCAGGCTGTAGGCCCCTGTAGGCCGGCCTGACCCATTTACACCCCTAGGGAGGGAGATACCCGGATATTTTTCATAAATTTGGAAAAACACTTGAATTATTTACTCGGGTAGGGAGAGGACTACCCGGGTAAACAATTCGGCCAGATAAGAAATGCACGATTTCTACTCTTCTTTCTCCCTAAATTCAAACCCAAGTATTTTTTTTCTCTCACACAAAGCACCTACCTCAACATGTCTTTCAGTTTCAGTGACCTTTCCAATAACAACAATAACATGTCCTTTGATGATAGATGGGGAACTTCGCAACGTAAAAATGATGATCATTTTGGACTTGAAGTTCAACCTTCTTCAACTTACCCTTCTTATTCTGATTTTCCTCCTGGTTTTAGCCCAACTGAGTTATTCAATTCACCTTTGTTTCTTTCATCTCCAAATGTAAGTCATACTCTCACTTACAATTGTTTATATTTTTATGTTTTTGTCTTTTTGTAACACTCCTATGTCATGTTTTGGGTCATCACTAATTGTGGGGTTTTCTTGGTTTAGGTTCCTGCATCTTACACAACTGATCCTTCTTCTGGCCAGTACTTCAACCGAAGAAACAAGAAACAGTTCAACTGAAGACCAACAATGTAACATGGAGGAAGAGAGAAATTACCCTGACCTCTCTTTCCAAATCGAAATAAAGCATGTGCCTCTCTTTCAATCTTCCACAAGCATGTTTTAATCTTCCACAATCAATCCCGTAGGAAATAAAGAAGGAAATTTACCCGGGTAGCCCCCTCCCTACCCGGGTACGGTAAATTTTTTAAAATATACCCGGGTAGGCTTGATGGTCAACGGTCAAACAGAGACATATTGGTGTTATGTTTTCTGGAGAGGTTAAATTT